GCTATTTATGCTTCTAAATCTCAGCCGTTTGAGCTATTTTACGAGAAACAATGATTTAAGAAAATGAGTTTTCTTGTACTTCTTTTCTGCTAATTTTACATTTTTAAAACCCCTTTCACCATCTGGGTGCTAATTTTAACTTGTGTCTGCTACCTTTAGCTTGTTTTTATGCTAATTTCAGCTTTTTCTTCTTTTTAAAGCAGCAATTCTGCTCCTTTTATTCTTCTACTAGTTTGTTTTTATTCTTTGTTTGTGTTTCTTTCAACTTTTCATTTGGAACTGGCAAAAACAGTTTTGCTATAAAACATTTTCAGCTCCATTCACCTAAAGTTTTCAGCAATAAGCATTTACACTAGCATTTTTGCAYGAAATGCAAGTTCTCTAGTTGTCTTTGTCCTTGATRTGTGATTGTTTTCTCTTTGGACAATGATCAMCTTTATATTTTTTAGCTTGTGTTTASATTTGTGCCGACTTCTGATTTTAATTTGACCTCATTTTTATTCCTCCTCCWGTTTTAAGAGACAGAAATAAATTATTTATTCTCTCTATCTGCTTGTATTTCATTCATTCCCTCTCATTTCAAGACACCGGATCAGTTCAACGCAGAAAAGGCTGCAAAGAAAAGCAAAGTGCACATTTTCCTGTCGATGAACGGGATCGACATTCTGGAAAACAAAACWAAGGTTTGTTAAGTTGTTCCAGGGTCGTCTGTAGGTTTGTGTTTTGGAGCGTCGCGTTAAGTTTCCTCCTCACCTTTGATGTCCTCAGTTTCTCCTGTACTCGTGTCCYCTGTCCACCGTCTCCTTCTGCGCCATCCTGCCGTCTTCACCCAGAGTCTTTGGCTTTGTGGCCCAGCATCCTGCAGCCAACACCTACCACTGYTACCTGTTCCAGGACAAGAAGTTTGTGAGTATTTCCACACGGCAACGAGAAACAAATGAAAGAAAAACAAGAACTTTACCTCACCTCAGTCAGATGTCAAAAACCCTTTTTACAGGCTCAAGTACTGGTCTCGGTTATTGGTGATGCCTTTCAAGCTTCAAAAAAGGAGGGAAACAGACGAGGAGGAAGCGATCTGAAAGTGGAAGCACTCAGACACAAGGTTGGTCATTATTTTAGCAACTTCACTTTATTCCAACWGGTTTTAGCAATTATTCATTTGCTGCTCTGTCTTCTTTTATTTCAGAATAAAATGTTGCAGAAAGAGAACGATGAGCTGAAAAGGAAGCTTGCAGCTAAAGCGAACTAGCTGTTTGTGTAAAAGCTGGACATCTTGTACAAACATGAACACAATTATTGTAAAAAAACAAAAAAAAACAAACAATGTTTATTTCCCTGTATTTTATGATCATTCTGGGAAAACAAATACAGAATGAAAGAATGCTAATTGGTGCCATTAACAGTCAGGCTTTAATTGAACTTGCAACTTAAAAAAACTGAAAATTACAGTTATGATTATCCAAGGAGATTCATTAAAAATAACCATTTAAGAAAAAGAAATAACTCTTCTTTGTAAATTACTTTAATGATTTTAGATATTTTAACAGAGTTTAAAAGTTGATCCTTGGTTGTTATTTTATTTGTGTGATTTTATTGTTCTTTTGTTTTTGATTTGATTTGATTTGATTTATTTATTTAACAGGAAAAGATTATTAAAAATCAAGCCTGACTCAGCATAATTGCTGTTTTACAGCAGGTTCCTGTTCTGCAGCACATAAAACACTCAGAATTACAGCATCACAATCACATCATTATTATTACACCGTAGACACAAAGACAAACAAGCATACCAAATTTCAAAAAGGCAGCATTTGCAAAATAGGACGTCTAAATATGAGCACAACAGAAAGTGTCCAGCAGATGGCAGACAAGATTCTTCTTAAAGGGCTGTAGTTTTGAAATGGACTTAATGTTTTGAGGAATGTCATTCCATGCTTTAGTATAAACATAGAAGAAAGACCTCTGGCTGTAACAGCTTTTAAAAGTTGGTAATATTTTGATTTTACTTTTATTTACTGTGATTTTCTATTTTGGAGCACTTTGAGATTTTTAGTTAATGAAAAGTGCATTACAAATTAAATTCATTATTATTACTACTACTACTACTACTACTACTACTACTACTACTACTACTACTACTTGTAAATAACTAAAACATCATTATTAACCCAGGTTTTGAAACAACAGGAATCAAATAGATCAGGGGTGCCCAAACATTTTCCCTTAGAGGGCCAAAATTAAAATCAGTCTGAGGGCCGCGGGCCAAATGCGATAATATAATACATGAAATACAAATACKTCTAAAGTTGTTTTATTTTTATGAATAAGCTAGCAGCCAGTGTGGTTGCCCACATTCTTTTTTTTTTCAGCCCATGGACATGGAGAAAATTCAACATGCTTGGGCAGCAAAGGCTCATGGGATTTTCATAAATTAAAATTTGAGTATATGTGGTATAAGTTCGGTATGAGTATAAGGTGTGCAAATCTAGATGTGTGCTTAAATCTAAATGTCTCTTGTAGTTATTTGTATTTTATGTTCAATCTCAACATAATTCAAAGATAAGGTGAGTACCATGAGTTAAGACTATCAGATTTCAGCTCCTTGTACCTATAATTGGACCAATAGTTGAAAAGTGGAAATATAGTGTTTCTACACAGGACAGGGGATTGCAATCTAATAACCAGGACAACTGCTGGTGGGCCAAATCAAATGGTTTGGCGGGCCAAAATTGACCCACGGGCCCCACTTTGGGCACCTCTGAAATAGACCTTCTATTTGAAACAAAAATGGCAGCTGCTAAAGCGGCATCTCAACAGCAGGGGGCAGCAGAGAGCAACAAATTGATGCGTTAAAGTACTGCTTTGGTGTAATTCGAATTCTTTTTGAATTTATATTTAATTATTGGTTTCTAACCATGGTTCCGTGCGCGGTTAATGGTAGACAGATTATTTAAATCTCCCGGCTTAGATAACAAAAAGTAAACTCAGTTCATTTGTTTGTTTATTATTTAGTTGGTGTTTGTATAAGTATGGAACGCACCACTGTCCCATTCTATTCAGTCGCGAAAATTCTTCGAGCACGTGAATGCAACACTGTCCATTGTCAGCGTGAAATGTTTACGCCATAGACCTGAATAATAACCGCGGACTCGCTGAGGGAAAGTAGGGGGAATTAAGAGCGAAATGTTTGAAGAAGTGTGATTTTTAGATGGCTGTTTGTTTGTAAGGTGACTAAAGTTTAGCGAAGTTTGTTTATTTGAGTTACAGACTTCCGGAGTCCTTTCGGAGCTAGCTGACTGACGCCGCCCGGGATGCACAAACGTCGCATTGTTACTGAATTATTGTGACGCATTCAGGGACATTCGCTTTACCTCTCCAAGTCCCAGCTACTCGTTTAGTGAGATTATGATGGCTCAGCTTCATCCACCTGCAGAAAACCGTCTGTAAGCAGACCGGGCGGACGGGAAACGCTAAACCGTCATGGGGACGCGCTGGTCCCGGAGCGGCAGCAACCTGCCGCTTCTCCCCGACACGCAGACCTCCGAGCGGCGACCAGAAGATGGAGACTCCGCTAACGAGTCTCTGGACGGTCTGGACAGGAGGGAGGACATCGCTCAGTTCCCGTACGTGGAGTTCACCGGCAGGGACAGCGTGACGTGTCCAACGTGTCAGGGGACAGGACGCATTCCTTCAGGTGAGTCAACAACAACAACAACAACAACAACTTCTAAATGAACGCAGTGCTGAATCATTTATCTGTCAAAGGACTTGAAGCAAAACAAAGCTAAAGTCAGCAAAAATAGCAAAAAGCTAAATCGAGCAAAACAGTAGCTAAAAGTTAGACGTAGCAAAACCTCAGAACAAAAGCTAAAATAAGCATTACAATCCCATCCTCAGATGAGCTAAACCTTAGCTAAAWGTTCAAATGAKCAAAACCCTAGCTAACAGCTAAAGTTTCCAAGACAAAGGTTTAACGCTAAAGGGAGCAAAACTAGAGGCAAAAGGGTAAAACTGAAAGACATCAGCTAAAAGATAAAGGAACAAAACAAGATAAAAGTTAAAAATTTATGAAGACAAAAGCTAAAAGTAGCAAAACTGACTAAAACATAAAAATTGAGGCATCAGCTCAAAGCCAAAACAAGTAAAACTGAAGTTAAAAGCTAAAGTTAGACTGTAGCTAAACAGAACTAAACATGACTAAAAGCTTAAATTCAAAAGATATTAGCTAAAAGGAGCAAAACTAACTAAAAGCTAAAAATAGTCAGTAGCTAAAAGCTAAAATTTGCAAAACCAGCTAAAATATAAAAATCAGAAGATAGTAACTTAAAGCTACAAAGGCTAAATTAAGGTAAAGTTAGGAAGACCATAGCTAAAAGCTAAAGCGAGCAAAACTGTAGCTGAGTGCTAAATTAAAGAGCAACAGCTAAAGGCTGAAAAGAGTAAAAAGAAAATAAAAATGGAGCCAGTTTGCTGAAATAAATCGATATTAATGCTTTTCTCTGGGGCCAATTTTTGTAAATAAAGTGAAGTAATTCTAAAAGTCAAAACGTTGTCTTGGTGGTCGAGCTGAATGTTTTTAAAGATAAATGAGTAGAAAAGCACAAAGTCTGGAACTAGATAGATTGCAAAAGAAGAGACTAGAAAGAGGAAAACCAGGGTGTGAACTCTGACTCAGCTTTCCAACAATAAACAAGATCAAAGTTTACGTTTAAAAGCTTCGTTTTTCTGGTTCGACTTAAAACAAGCAGCCAGAAAAGAAAAACGTCAGATCGAAGTCATGTGAGAAACGTCTTATTTTGTCCGTTTCTTTACAGAACAAGTGAACGAGCTAGTTGCACTCATCCCGTACAGCGACCAAAGGCTGCAGCCACAACGCACGTAAGTTACCAGAACCACAGACCAGTTCTGGGTCAGAGTCCTGATCCGTCACCGTCAGGTTTTATGAGCCGGTCCGTTTCAGACCGGTCCTGTCTGTGCTGTAGGAAGCTGTACGTGGTCCTGTCAGTCGTGGTCTGCCTCCTGGCCTCGTCGCTGGTCGCCTTCTTCCTCTTCCCTCGGTCGGTGGTGGTGGAGGACGCTGGGTTACGCTCGGTGACCGTGTGGTTCGACCACGCCAACGCCAAGGTCCTGATAAACCTGACCGTAGGTTTCCTCTCCTCCAACACATAGTTCTTGAGTTTATCATCACAAGGAGGTAGCATGTTAGCACTAGCCCCTGGTGGGAGCTGTGTCTATGGCCTTTTTATTTTTAAATATAGTTTATATACTTGTTTAGGAATCCTCTAAGTGTGGAAACATCCCCAGTGCTGCAGAATACATGCTTAGAAAAACGTTTTGTCACTTCCTGTTTGGGTAGTAATGATTCTGACTTTTTTTGTTAGTTTTTTTTTCAGCAAAACAAGCTCAGTTTTGAAAAAGTTGGACACTAAGAAAACATTTATTTGAAAAACAGAAGGTAGTTTTGGATATTACCAAAAAAACAGTCGAGATTATCTCTGAAGCATCCGGAGATTTAGTTTCTCTAAGACGCACTTTTTTCTTTAATCCTCCGTCCTCTTACTGACCTGATGCAAATTAACCTCACTGATAGTGAAATTGTTTCCTTACTTTTTGCACAATGTCCTAAATTTTCAGAACTGGTGACACTTCGTGCATTTTTTAATTTTTTTTCAGAGCACGCTAAACTTCAGCAACCCGAACTTCTTCTCCGTTCTGGTGCAGAGCGTGAGCTGCCAGGTCCTCTACATGAAGACGGTGATCGGGACTCGGCAGCTGGACAGGGCCACCACCATCCTGCCGCTCGGCCAGAGCCAGGTGTGACAACGTCCGCATGACGCTGTGAAATGAGCTTCAGAGCTCGCGTAAAACGGCTCCTGCTAAAGGTTAAAAGCAGCAGCTAACAGTTTAATGACCCGACAAAAGTCGGATCTATTCTCCCATTGTTGTCAGAAAAAAAACCCCGTAATGAGACCAAAACAAACACATCAGCGAGTCCAATGTTTGCATCTGCTTCATTTGAATAAACTGTTTTACTGCAGCAAAAACATGAAGACTTTAACTTCAACCTCCCTCAAACTGCAGGTCTTAATGCTCAGATCCAGTTTGGGTTTGTGTGTGGACTGTTCTGATATTACAGAGCCTGTAAGAGAACATCAGAAAAAAATAAATTAAATGACCCTAACTTACTTTTGCAAGATCCTGCAAAGGTTTCTCATGATCCTGCAAAAGTTTCTTAGGATCCTGCAAAAGTTTCTTAGGATCCTGCAAARGTTTCTYAKGATCCTGCAAAGGTTTCTCATGATCCTGCAAAAGTTTCTTAGGATCCTGCAAAGGTTTCTTAGGATCCTGCAAAGGTTTCTTAGGATCCTGCAAAGGTTTCTCATGATCCTGCAAAGGTTTCTCATGATCCTGCAAAAGTTTCTTAGATCCAGCAAAGGTTTCTTAGGATCCTGCAAAGGTTTCTCGTAATCCTGCAAAAGTTTCTCGTAATCCTGCAAACGTTCCTTAGGATCCTGCAAACGTTTCTCGTGATCCTGCAAAAGTTTCTCATGATCCTGCAAAAGTTTCTTAGGATCCTGCAAAAGTTTCTTAGGATCCTGCAAAGGTTTCTTAGGATCCTGCAAATGTTTTTTAGGATCCTGCAAAGGTTTCTTAGGATCCTGCAAAAGTTTCTTAGGATCCTGCAAAGGTTTCTTAGGATCCTGCAAAAGTTTCTTAGATCCAGCAAAGGTTTCTTAGGATCCTGCAAAGGTTTCTCGTAATCCTGCAAAAGTTTCTCGTAATCCTGCAAACG